AGTTCGATCCCTGATACAAAAAAAAAAAATCAATGTTTGATTTAAGAGCAACATTACATCTTTCTAATCTAGTCCATAGATCTGAGTAAGACCTCTAAAGACCTCAATATATATATCAGGGTCATCTGAAAACTTTTAAGCCTCATTTGATCTGTCTAAGATTACTGAGAGAAAAAGATACATGAACACAGGTAGTCTCATATTTGCCATTTACTTCCTGCAAGGGATATTGTCTTTGAGGGACCTCAGCAACTTAGCTAAGGATAGATATAGCCTCATGGAGATTAATTCTAGCTGGCCTAGAAATTCCACCCTCAGCACCTGGTGGTTAGGGTGAGGAGTAGCCTTAGGCTTAGAGGTACTGAATGCCTTAAGGGTGAGGTGTCTCTCATTTTTCTATGGCCCACATTTATATTTGAACCCAAGCAAGAATTACTTCTTAATGTAAAGAAAATCTCAACATAAAATTATTTTGACCATTTTCTCTCTTTTACAGTATAATTCTAATTGTGAGATAGCATCATAGTACTTTCCTCTGTGTACTTGGCTTTAGGAGGTAGGCACACCACATACAGGTATAGAGAAATACTAAATTGCTCCTTAATATAGTCCAAAGGAGTAAGAAGTTCAGATATAGAGTCCCAGTTTGAAACAAGAGAAACAAATCGGTATCCCATAAGTTTCTGCTTGATTCCTGTGCCCCCTAGGGCATCCCCAGGCTGTCCCCCCAAGGTTTATACCACTCCAGGGTAGGTAGCTACCTCTGGAGAGAGAACCAGAAATCAAAACCAGACTGGACTATCTATCCTTTACCAGTGCACAATCTTATCTTCCTCAGATAACTCATATCCTTATTCCAGTAGGTACTCTTAAAGGACAAGTTACAATTGACTTCAGCCATAACAATCATGTTTAGAGAAAGAAGTATTGCTAGCAAACCAAGAGATTTAAACCACTGCTATCTAGTTCCTGGAAAGAGAGAGAGGAAAATAAGTCAACAGTCAAATTAGGGCACTTTTCCTGCAAAAGATATCACCTCCATGGATGGTAAGTCAGAGATTCTGCCCTGGGCCCTAGGGCAGAGAAAGCTCTGAGAAATTTCTGTTGTCTGTCCAGTCATTTAGGTAACTTTTATTAGCAGCAATACAAGCCTACTCCTTTAAGGTCCATTTTAAATTCACTAAGTATTTGAAACTCATAGGTCCTCTTAGTAGCCACAGTCTACATAATAAAGGCACTCTTATCGACTTCCTGTGCACGTATGAATGAAGAGAAAGGCTGGCTAAGATAGTCCCATATTCTAGCTAATGAGTAAAAACACAAATGCAAGTTACTGATTGCTATTTTCCGTAGTGTAAGACAAAGCAGTTGTTGTGAGTTCCCTTAGTCTGACTTTCTGGAAGGAGGAGTGGTCTGACTACAAGGGATTTTCAAATGAACTCCCAACAAGTTGGAGAAAAGTTTAAGTGGGGTTTTTAACTCACTAGCAGAGCGAAAAAGCCTAAATAAAGCTCAAGCTGGTTAAACATCCCAAAAAATTACCATACAGCATTTTATAAGTCCACAGTCAACGTTCCAAAGTCCATAACCTATCAGAAAAGGCATTTTTCTCCCCTACACACATAAATGATAAAGACCATGCCTAGGTGGGAGAAAAGGTTCAGGTATTTTTACTCCATCAAAGATTTGTTTTATACATTTGTCTAGAGGTCTTACTAGTAGTAGAGAAAGCAGTCCAAACTGTAGCTCAAATCTTAATGGAGGCTTAAGAAAAGGGCTCTAACAGCATCATTTCAGATCACTCTGAGATAGGGGATATCTGATGATCACTGACAAGAGTTCCCCTTTCACCTCACTGAGCAGTCCAGATAGGGATAAGATGTGGAGATTTTCTGCTGATTACCTGGATGGGCTATTGGGAGCTAGTTTCTTCTGAGGGACCTTTGGGTATTTGCCAGAGAGTAGCCCTGGCCATGACCCCTCAGTTGTCACCTCAGTTTCTTCTAGTTCCACGCAATCAGAGATCTGTCTCCAAAAGGAACCCAATTGCCTATCTGGTCAACATATCACCCGCCATTGGTGTCAGTGGGAGTGGGGATTCACCAGAGGGCAAGTGGAGAAACCTGTCCTCTGCTTTGAGAGTGGCAGCTGCCCTAAAGGCAATTACTAGCTGACAGAGTAACCACTGTTAGACATTCTATAAGGGACAGATAAAAGCCTGAACTGTCTTTATCTGGATGATTTTATAAGAGACCCATTTTACAACATTTTTAAGCAAATAAGTCCAAATGCAACATACACAAAACAAGAATAAAAGAATTTTAACAAATGACAGTGCATTAAAAAAACAAGAAAATTGCAAACATTTAAAACAATTTAAAATTAAGATACTTTTGAAACAAAAGCCAAAACAAAGGCCAGAATTTATGAAGCAAAAACCAGAATCTATGAAACAAATGTCAAGAGCCTATGAAACAAAAGTTACAATCTATAAAGCAAAAAGACCAAAGTTAGAACCTATGGAACAAAAGAAAACTCTTACCTCCAACCAGTAATCTCAGTGGAAGACCTCCAAAATGATATAAGGGAAGAGATGTAACTTCCAAACCTACGAGATATCCAAAATGCAAGTTTGTGTTCTCTAAAATCGAAGAATGAATTTTAGAAACAATGGAGGTTAAGAGTAGGAAAAATTTATTGAGAGAAAGAAAACTTCTATCTTAGGAGAGACAGAAGAGGGACTGGAAAGTGGGTTGCCCCTGGTGTAGATATTTTTGATTATGGCTAATTAGAATTCTATGTGCCTCACCGTGTGTCAAATTCTTTTTCCCTGCTTGGGAAGTTTTCTGCCATTACTTCTATAAACAGATTTTTTTATGTTGTTTGTGCTATGCCCTGCTTTTTATTTAGTCAGATCAATCTTATGTTATTCTTTGCATCATCTAGCAACTGTTGGATTAATTTTTTTTGTGGTCCCTTGCTTTTTTTTTCTTGGTACCAGAGATTGAACTCAGTACTTTGTGCTAGCCAAGCAGGCACAGTGCCACTGAGCTAAATCCCTGGCCCTTCCTTGCTATTTTTAAGAAATCTTTCTTTTTGCAATTGCTAACCACAATCCTGTCTTCTATATCTGATATTCTGTCCTCACATTGGCTCCTTCTGCTGCATATACTTTCAATGGCATTTTTAATTTCATGAATATCTTTTTGAATTTGTTTCATGGATTCCATTTCTTTCCCATGTTGGGTGTTCATGGTTTCTATCATTTTCCTAAGCTTCTACTTCTTGAATTTATTGTGGATGAGAAAGTTGCTGCCTATTTGGCCTATCCTCTGGTTCTTTGGCACTGGCCTATAGTATTGTTTAGTATTGTTTATGACCCTTAGGCAATCTCAGTATTGGTATACCAGGAAGAACAACTGATTTGAACAATTATGCCATCTTGGCCAAAGTAGTACAGTCAACAATAGCAATAACAATAGCATCAAACACAGCCTAGAAAATGACAAATTGTGGTAAATATTAATTTGGCACCTTTAACTGTGTTGAACTAGATTTGTGGTTATGTAACAAAATCTAAAACCAGAAAATTGTATACAGTAAATATGTTCTCAGTATGGTGATTTTATCCTTGGGAGGAAATTTAAAAGGGGTTTGGGGGAAAAATAGAGAAATAGAAGAAGAGGAAGAGATTAGAAGCAAGTCTGGAGGGCAAAGGAAGATCATGGAAACTAAGAAACTGGTGAAGAAGACAGGAGGTAAAGAAGGAAGAAATAACAACAAAAACAAAAACCCCTAGAAATTCATATAAAAACAAGAACAGTCAAGAAAAAAGTAAAATAAAACACAAACAAAAGAAAGAAAGAAAAAAGACCTCTTCAGCATGTGTCTCTGCTGTCACTGATAGAAAGAGTGGGCAAAGTCCAGATTAATCCCAGCAAACCAGCCTGCACCTTTACTTCTGAAGGTCAGGCTGGTTTCTGGCTGTGAGGCTGAAACCCAATTTGTTTGACCTGCAGCAATCCATGTGGCTCTAGCAGGCTTGAACTTGGCTTCTTGACCTCCTGCCAACTTGAACTCAGTCCACCTTACCCTGATGGAGCCAGCCTGCAGCTGGTCTGAGTTCCCAGCTCAGTTGGCCCCTCTCCAAGATGACCACCGGCCAGTCACCCTCTCCTGAGGGGTGTCTGAACCTGAGTAACTCACAAGCTACTTGCAGTCTGTTGCATCCACTTCTTTGTTCACTGGTGTGTTTCTCTGTGGAGGCCTCTGGGGTTGCCAGTAGTCACTGTGCACCTGCAGGTTCAAGCCACCCTTCCCATGCAGTAAGTCAGGAGAGAAAGTACTGCTTACTACCTCCTTCTTTGTGCGTCTCTCTCCTCACTCTCCCCATGGGTTTCAATTCTTGTTTCAGATCCTTGCTGGGTCCTGGGGACCCATTTCTCTCCTTCTCTTCACATTGCTATATTCCAGCATATGGACACCAAATTTTGGAAAGGCTGTTTCTCTGCTGTTCACTACTCCACCATCTCTCTAGTGTGGTATTTCTAGGGATCCATTTTACTTGGAGCTACCTTTTTTCTGATGTGGAGATGGGGAAAGAAGGAAACATAAGTTTCCTTATCCATTTTTGGTGTGAATGTCTGCAGGATAGATTGCAGCAGTGTCTGAAGTTTGTTTTCTAAGTGTGAAAGCCAGTGTTTGTCTTCACTGTAACAAACTAGGGCATGGGCAGTGAAATAAGGTACTGGTGGTCCTGGATTTTTGAGTAGGGGCATGACCTCAATTTCTGCCTCTGGGACCCAAATCTCCTTTCCACAGTAGCAGAGGCCCCAGGGGACCAATCTGTCTGCTTCAGCTCCCCCTTTCTTGGAAGGTGCTGAAAGGGGAGCTCCCTTTGAGGTCAGCTGGGTCTCCAGACATAACGGGCTGGTCCCCCTGAGCACACAGAGGATGCAGATGGCTGTTCACAATCTGGAATTTGCTTTGTCTTTCTGTAGCTGCAGCATTTGCAAGAAGAAGCAGAATAAACACTTCATTGTTCCAGCTTCTCGATTCAAGCTCCTGAAGGTTAGTGCTTAAGTGCAAGGTCAGGAGGGCATGTGTGAGGACTTCTAGCCTGCCCTCCACAGGGTGTGGGGGCAGAGAACATGGTTGGTTTCCCTTTTAACCCTGGTTTCATGTTTACTTTTAAAAGGTTGTTATTTTTTCCTCTTTATTTCTGAAGACATATTTGATCTTACGGAAATATTTTCAAATTCAGAGAATCAAAAAATAAATTAATAAAATTAACCAAGTTAACCACTGTTAATATTTTGGTGTATATTATTATTTTCTACATAAATGTATATACATATATTGTCATGTTTCTATCAAAGTAGAGTTTTACGTTTTTTCCAAATGTAGCCTACTTTTGTCATTTCCCAATGAAACATCACATAATTTTCTTTTTCTTTTCTTATTTTTCTCTATTTTTTTTTCTTTCTTTTTTTTTTCCTTGCAGAACTTGGGATTGAGCCTTAGATTTCACACTGAGCTATATCCCCAGCCCTTTTTTAAAAATTGAGGCAGGGTCTCCCAGAGTTGCCCAAGCTGAGTTTGAATTTACAGTCCACCTGCCTCAGTCCCTCAGAGTGCTGGGATTATGGGTGTATGTCATCATGCTCAGTTTATAATTTTTTTAACTTTAATTGTATTATTTTGGGCAATTCTTTTTGTATTTGGCACAGAATTTGCAAGATGTAAGAAAATATATGAATACATAGTGAAAAGTCTTTCTTTCACTGTCTCTCAGGCCCCAGCTTCCTACTCCCCAGTAGCCATTTCCCTGGTTGATATCTCATCACCTCTGCATCTGTAGTAGTGAATTTGGAGCCTGAGTCTAGTTTTTTTCCAATTATAAACATTACTGTGAAGAATTTCTCAGTGTATAAGTTGTTGACAATTTAGAAATTTTTTTTTCTTTGAGATCAGTTCTCTTAAAAATAAAATTCCTAGGACTAGGGATTTAGCTCAGTACATTGTGCCTGCCTCGCAAGTGCAAGGTCCTGAGTTCGATACCTGGTACCAAAAAAATAAATAAAATCTCTAAGTCAGAAAATACAAACTTTTAAAAAAGCCTCTTTAGCACATACTAGATAGTGTGGAGTAAGGCATGGCTTTAATTCCATCTTCCATTCCTACTTTGCCAATCACAGGTCTCACAGGTCTCTGCCTATACCAAGAGTATAGTTGTCAGTGTAGTTATCTGTGTCTTACCAGACTGCGAGTGTGTTTTAAGTACTTTTCTCATTCCTGGGACAAAATACCTGACACTCACAACTTTAGTGAGGAGAGTTTATTTTGGCTCATATTTCAGTCCATAGTCAGCTGGCTCCAAGACAGGATGGCATGGCAGAGAGGGATGGTGGGTGAGAGCTGCTCAAGGCATGGCAGATAGAAAGCAGAGAGACTGACGGGAAGAGCCAGGGAGGGAAATACACTGTATTTCTCTGAAAATAAGACCTAACTGGAAAATAAGCCCTACCATGATTTTTCAGAATGTTCATAACATAAACCGTATTCCCAAAATAAGCTGCAGTTAAGATTGCCAGCCAGAAAAAAAAAAAGATTGTCAGCCAGACAGATGTACATAAATTCGTCTGTTGTAACTCATGATGGATGTATTGAATTATAATACTAATGTATACTAAATAAAAATAAATAATATTCACATTAATACTTAAACAATATAAATTACTATTAAGTATTTCTAAATACCCAAGAGGGTATTTGGATGAGAGAAATATGCCTGTGAAAACTTGAGATTTTTTGCTGAATGACCAATCAGAGTACAGAGACAGTGCACAAATAAAATAATGTGCACATTTGATAACAAGTAGATGTGGCTGGGTCTAATATGAATCTTCACAATTCAATATGTCGTGTGTTGTAACGATGGACTATGAACAGGCTCAATGGACAGAAGTGCCCGTTTAAGGAGAGCTCTATTGCTGGACATGAGAGATTGGGGCCAATGGTTCTGTAGGAAATGGAGATGTAAGAAATTAGGGCCAGAGTTTGGGGTTTGGAGAGTTATGCTGATGTTCCAGAAGAATACATGACTGTATTTGAATAAATGTAGATTTTTGTACATAAATAATTGAACAGGGCCCAGGATGCAGCTCAGTGGAGCTGCGCCTCCCTGGCAAGCGCAAGGTCCTGAGTTTGATCCCCGGTACTGAAAAAAAAAAAAGAAAGAAAAAAATGAACAAATGTTGCACATGAGAAAATAAGACATCCTCTGAAAATAAGCCCTGTTGCATCTTTTGGAGCAAAAATTAATATAAGACCCAGCTTTTCTGGGAAATATAATACCCTTCCAAACCATGACCCCAGTGACCATCTTTTCTTACCAGGCCTCACTTCCTAACAACACATTTAGCTATAAACTCCTTAGTGGACTAATCACTGATGAGTATAGTAAGTATCTACCTCCATGGTCCAGTCACCTTCCAAAAGCCCCAGGTATAGCCAGGTGTGGTGGCACTCACCCTTGATCTCGGCACTTGGGTGGCTGGAGCAGGAGGATCACTGTGAATTCAAGGCTACCCTGGGCTACATAGTCCAAGGCCAGCCTGGACTACACAGTGAGAACCTGTCTCAAAAAAGCCCCCGATATGAGGCTTTGAGAGGATATCTTGATGTAAACTATAACAGTTTCTCCAAGGCAAGTACCACTTTTAAGTTTGACAGCTGACCTAATTCCTGGCCTAGTAGGTCCTTGCACTGAATAATTGGGCTCAGAGAGTTCCTGGGAGGAATGTCTGACTAAGTGGATGATTATAAGAGTCTTAGTCTTTTCTGAGATAGTAAGGTTTAAATTGAATGTGAAGATGAGGAAGAAAGAGGAATTGGAGTTATAGCCAAAATGTTGGGCCTGAGCACTTAGTCAAATAGAGACACCAGGTCCTGCAAGTGTAGATGGCTGGGCTATGAGGCGGGTGCTGGGACCACTGAGCTAAATCCCCGACCCTGAACTGTTTTGTCTTTTGAGTATTCAGAGGATGGAAGTATATGGAAATGAGGGTCTGGATGTCACTGGGTGGTTTTATTAATGAATGAGGTAAAGTAAGATGTGAAGTATTTACTGATTCTGCCTGAGAGTAAGTCTGGATGATTTGAGATCACATGGCAGTTGCTTTTGCTGCTTTTCTGGTGCCATAGTTATGGAGTAAGAAATAGCTGCTCAGGGAGCTATTTTTATAGGAAACTCATGGGCACCTTGGTGCTTGCCTGTAGTCCCAGCTAGTCAGGAGGCTTGAGGCAGAAGGATTGTTTGAGCCCAGGAATTTGAGGCCAGCCTGGACAGCACAGTGAGACTCTGTCACTTAAACAAAGAAATAATCCTATAAGAAACTCAGAGTTCATGAGGGCCTTCCTCTCCTGTGTTGGTGTCTGGTGGCTAGGGAAGAAGTATAAAGAGGCCTAATAGTGATAAGAAACACTGTCCCCTAACATTCATCTACCGTTTCTCTTCCTGGGGGAAAATCACTGTTTCTTGGCTACCTCTTCAAGGTTTATATGCAGTAAAATCACATAAAGTGTATATCCTTTTTTATTTATTAATTTTAAGGGAGGAAAGGTTTATTTGGCTCGTGGTTTGTAGAGGTTTCAGTCCATAGTCAGCTGGCTCCAAGGCAGGGTGACATGGCACATAAGCATCACAGAGGAGAAACAGTTTATGGAAGCCAGGAAGTAGTAAGCAAGCAAGAGTTCTTTTTTAAAAAATAGAAATGGTGGGGCAGGGATTTAGCTCAGTGGTTTCGCCGCCTGCTGCGCAAGCGCAAGGACCTGAGTTTGATCCCTGGTACCAAAAAAAAAATTTTTGAAACAGTAAACTATACCTGTTGTATTTGTTTTGATTTTTGTTTTGTTTTGTAGTGGTGTGAGGATTTAAGCCAGGAGGGCTTCATGCATACTAAGCATGTGCTCTACCACTGAGCTACATACTCAGCCCATTTTTATATCTTGCCTTCTTCATTTTGAAACCATGGAGATTGCTCCATTTTAGCTTTTTCACTCACTCTTCTCAACCCTTGCAGAATATTCCATTTTATGAGGGTCTGTCTTTGTTTGAACCAGTTCTCAGCTGGAGAACTTTAAATTTTTCTGGTCTTTGTTTATGAATAGTACTATACACACATACATCCATAGGAAAACTTTCTAAAAGTGTAAATGCTTGTTAAGAGATTTTGGTAGATGTCGCTATGTTTTTTTTGTTTTGTTTTGTTTTTTTGTTTTTTTGGTACCGGGGATCGAATTCGGGTCCTTGCACTTGCACAGCAGGTGGCGAAACCACTGAGCTAAATCCCCAGCCCAGATGTTGCTATGTTTACCACTTCATATTCCCATGACTGATATGTGAGAGTGCATATCTTCTATTTTTAAATTTTAGTTTTTGTCTTTTTGTGAGAGTGCCTGTTTTTCTACAAGTTGTCAGTGCTGTTAACCAACTTTTTGATTTTTTTTTTCACTCAACAGTGAAAAGTATCTCATTGCAGTTCATCACTGTAAGCATCATTTCGCAGGTGAAGGAGAGATTTGTTTTTCATTTTCTTTGAATCTTCCATTCATGGTCTTTGCCACACTTACACGAATACACTAGGGAAATTATCCCTTTGTCTATGCTGTCTGACAAAAATTTTTCCTAGTTTGTCCTTTATGGATTAATTCAAGTACAGTCAACAGTTTTCATAAGACCATGAGCAGAACTGTTTGGGCATATGGGAAGCCAGTACGTCCAGTGAGCTGCTCTCCACTTAGGGCCTGGAAAATGGGCATTTTTCACTCCCTGGCTTTGGCAGGACATTGTTTTGTGAGATCTATGAAGAGATCTATGTTGGGTTGGTCTGTGTGTAGTTGCCCTATGAGAAGCCCTGAGATGTCATGCTCAAGTATTGTGTCTTCAGATAGTATGGATGGGTCCCTGTCCCCAAGAAACTTTTGAGTCTTTTGTGGGAAATGGCACCTGTCTTGTGAAGAATTTTAGTTTTTGTTTTTTGGGGACAAAAGTTTCATGTTGTAGACCAGGCTGGTCTCGAGCTTTCTATGAACCTCGGGCTGGGTTCGAACTTATTATCCTCCTACCTCAGCCTCCTGAGTACCAGGATTATAGGTTTGTGTCATCACACCAGCCAAGATTTACTTTTTTTTTTTTTTTGGTACCGGGGATCGAACTCGGGTCCTTGTGCTTGCGAGGCAAGTGATGGAACCACTGAGCTAAATCCCCAGCCCCAAGATTTACTTTTTAAATGACATAAAATAATCTTTCTTTAAAAAGAGAAAGCCTATTTGTTTGTGTTTACTTAGGGAGCTGAGAGCATAACCACTTATACATTCAATACGCACAAAGCCCAGCATACCTTCTGTAAGAGATGTGGTGTTCAGAGCTTCTATACCCCCCGCTCCAACCCCGGAGGCTTTGGTGAGTAAAGGGGATGGACTATAAGCTCAGGGGATGCTCAGAGGCCCGGGTGCTTGGGGTGTAGGTGCTGAGTGGACCAGTGGTTGCTGGTATATTTGGCCTGCCTCCTGCCTGGCTAGGTGCTTCTTTCACAGGCATGTGTTAGAGCAACAGGGATCTTCAGCGGAGCTCCTTTCCAGTGGTGGGTAGGAGACTCTGACCAAGTGTCTCAGTCCCATAGGGAGATATCTTTCTCAGTTCCAGCCAGATTGGTGCTTCACAGCTGTGTGTCACTGGGGGTGACACTGAAGGTTAGAGAGAGGATGATCACTTTTAAAAATAAGGGCTGGGGGTGAAGCGCAGCAGTAGAGTGCTTGTCTGGTGTGCACGAGGCTCTGGGTTTGATCCCCAGTACTGCCAAAAATGAAAAATAAATTTTGTTCAGAATACAACCTGGAGAACCTCCAAGGTCCTTTTCAGCTCCTGGTTGGATCTGGGAGAAGTAAAACCAGCCCTTAGCCAGTTGTTGTACCAGTTACAGTTGAATTGAGGGGAAACTAGCAGTTGAAGACGTTTGGAGCTATGGGGCAGCTGTGACAATGACATCTGCTTTATGGCGGGAGACAGGGAAGGGCCTGATATCATACTAGCCTTTTCCCACCCTTTTTCTTCAGCAGCCCCTACTGGTTCCTCATCTGCCATGTGGACTCCTTTCTGCCCACCTTTTAGGCCAGGAAATGATTTTGAAGAGTATAAAATCCTATACAAATGGGGAGCTATTTAATTCTTAGAAATTTTATCTGAACTGAAGAAAGGCCTGAGAATTCTTCAGAGATTGCACTATCCCTGAGCCTTTTTACTTTTCCTACTCAGCTTGGTTTTGAACGATGCCAAGCCTTTCCCATCAGTTCAAGGAGTCTGATCTCCATCTGGCAGGTGAGGACCATGATCCAGAAGGCTGAATCATAAGCTGTGACCAGTGCTGCCTGAGTTTAGCAGGCCGTATTGATTTCATAAGCTGAGGTCTTGAGCTGGAACATATCTCTTGGGAATCTGATGCATAAGATGATGATGTTTGTACTAGGGGGTTTGTCCAAGAACCAGGATAGTCTCTATTCTCACCCATACTTGGGACACATCTTTCTCTGTGCCACTTTCTCCTAGGAATTGCCCCACATTGCCTGGATGAAGGCACCGTGCGGAGTGTGATCACTGAGGAATTCAACGGCAGCGATTGGGAGAAGGCCATGAAGGAGCACAAGACCATCAAGAACATGTCTAAAGAGTGAGCTCCTGCTTCTCCCTTCCTGAAAAGGAGGAATGAGTGGGGCCAGCCCCTCTATGGTCTGTATAGCATCTTGGTGGTGCCTTTGGTGTAGCTGACCAGGTTGCTGGTGCTGCTGGCCAGCAGCTGCCTTGGTCTGTGTGAGTTTGCTCCAGCTACCAGTTTCTTTAGGCAGCTCTTTGTCCTTCCTCAGCCCAGAATTTGATGTAGGCTAGTTCACCCTCTTCCTTCTTTTCCCCAACTTTTGTGTGATCTTTTAGAAAATAAATATTTTTAACATTAATGCAGTTACTATGGTTCCTCATTTCCTCTGCACCTTGATTTTGCCTCTGAGGCTAATCATTGAACAGCAGATATTTGTTGGTCACTATCAAGATGCTTACAACCAAGTTGACAAGAAGAGGTAAGAAGTAAGTAGACAGTGATTATAACTAGAGGATTGTAGCTGATCACAGTCTGTTTGAGTTGTGAAGAGGGGAGTGATAGGATATAGGAGAGAGGGCTAGTCCAGGAAGATCTGAGTAGGGTATGGTGTGAGTCATACTGTTTTTAAAGGTAAGTTAATTCTAATTTTTTTTTCTTTTTAACTAAGCTTAGCAGGCTGTGCTAAAATACATATCACATAAAATGTACAGTTTAGTCATGTTAAATACATTGATGTTGTACAACTGTCTTGCCACTGAGCTATGTCCCCAGCCTTCTTTGCTTTTTTTTTTTTTTTTTTTGTAATTGGGCTTAGTACTATGGGCTCTAAACTAAAGTACATTCTGGGGCATGTTTACTTTTTTTATGTATGGTAATGGGATTTGAATTTAGACCCTTTTTGCTGAGCTACATCCCAGCCCCTTTTTGATTTTTAATTTTGAGAGTTTCTCAGTCAGTTGCTAAGCACCCCAGGTTGACCTCAAACTTCTGATCTCTCAGCCTCAGCCACTCCCAAGGGCTGGGATTATAGGCTTTTGCCATTATGCCCAGCTCTGGTTTTTTATTTTCGAATGGGGTCTTATTGAGTCTCCAAGTTGCCCAGACTGAATTGAAATTTAGCTAAATTCCTAGCCCTTTATTTTATTTTTTTTAGATTTTTGAGACAGTCTCACTCTGTAGTAAGGGCTGGGTTTGAACTCACTATGTAGCTCAGGCTGGGCTTGAACTAGCAGTGGTGACCCTGCCTCTGCCTTTTTGCTTTTATTTTGAGACAGTCTTGCTTAAGTTGCCCAGGCTAGACTCCATCCACCTTGGGATCTTCCGGCCTTAGCCTCCCAGGTAGGTGGAATTACAGGCGTGTAGCTCAGTGCTCCCTAGGTTTAATCACCATTACCACCAAAAAAAATAAACTAAAAAACCCAACAACTTTGAGTCTTTTTTTTTTTCTTTTTCTTTTCGGTTTTTTTTTGGAGACAGGGTCACACTATGTAGTTCAGGCTGGCCTTGAACTCACTATGTAGACCAGGCTGGCCTCAAATTTGCTGCAGTCTTCCTGCCTCAGACTCCCAAGTGCTAGGATAATAGGTGTGCGTCACCACGCCCAGTTTAGCTTCTGAACAACTTTGAACAGAGTAAAATAATGCCTGACCCGTTATACAGTGTTAGGGTTGGTTCTCATCTCCCTCTTTTCCCATGATTGTATTTTGATCAGGTCAACTTTCCTAAAACATTCTTTTCGTTAACAAGTACTGAATATGTACATGGTATCAATAAATATTTGTTCTTTGCTTTAGGAAAACCAATAAAGAAGTGTTCTGTTAAGTAGACTAGACAAGAGACAAGGGAAAAAAAAAAGAGAGACAAGGATGTGGAGAAGAAGCAAGATGGTCAGTTCCTTGTTTCTGTGTGGTTACTACCTGGTCAACTACCTTGGCAGACAGCCATGTTCACACTGACCTTGGGAGGAGCTGGGCAAGTGCAGGAACTGAATTTTCAGGATCAGAACTCAAAGTATTCCTTAAAATTTTTTAAAGTTATGCAGATAAAGGGCTGGGGATTTAGTTCAGTGGTCCCCGCGCCTGCCTTGCAAACACAGGGTCCTGAGTTTGATTCCCAGTACAGCCCCCCAAAATTATTTAGATAAAACATGAATTATATTCTCAGACAGTAATCTCTTTTGATCTACCTTTCCTATTGCAGTGTTATATAAAAATGCAGTTCTGTGTGTCTTTTTTTTTTTTTTGGTACCAGGGATTGAACTCAGGACCTTGCACTTTCGAGGCAGGCACCGGAACCACTGAGCTATATCCCTGGCCCCCTGTGTGTCTTTTAAAGCCATAGTGGTAGGGCTGGGAAGTATATCTCAATAGTAAAGCATGTTCTTAGCAAGCATCAGGCCCTGGGTTCAATCCCCACTATTAAAAACTAAAAGGGCCAGGGATTTAGCTCAGTGGTTCCACCGCTTGCCTCGCAAGCACAAGGACCCGAGTTCAATCCCCTGTACCAAAAAAAAAAAAAACCTAAAAAATATTTTAAAACATAAATGGTATCATACTGTCTTCTTTGTTCTGACATTTGCGTTTTATTTAATAACACATCATTTCACATCAATATACATATCCTCAGTATTAGCTGTTAGATAAAATTGTAGCATGAGTATAGTTTAACCTTTTCTCATGCAAATTTACAGTTTTGCTGTTACACAAAGTGTTGACAATGAACATCCTTTTATGTACCTTATACACATGAGTATTATTTGGGAAGTGGAGTTGGGGTGCTTAAAGATATGTGTATTTTAAGTATTAAAAAACTGGTAAGTTGCTCTTAGAAAGTGTTGACCAGACAGTCATTAACCCTGTATACAGCAGAGTGGTTTCACCAACACCTGATAGTACCAGTTTTTTGGTTTTTTGTCTACATTTTTTTTTTGGTACCAGGGATTGAACTTGGGACCTTGCGCTTGCAAGGCAGGGGGTGGCACCACTGATCTAAATCCTTGGCCCTGAAATAGTATATTTTTAAATGTGGTTTTTTTGGTTTTTGTTTTCTGGGGGCTTTTTTTGGTACCAGGGATCGAACTCAGGTCCTTGCGCTTGCACAGCAGGTGGCGAAACCACTGAGCTAAATCCCCGGCCCTTGGTTTTGTTTTATTCTTGTGGTACTGGGGTTTGAACTCTAGGTCTTTGCACTGAGCTGTAAGCAGCCCTTTTTATAAGTCACTGAATTGCACAGGCAAGACTTGAACTTGCAATCCTCCCTCAGACTTTTAAAGTATAGGGATTACAGGCATGCACCTTCATGCCAGGCTCATATTTATTATTTTAATTTTTAAAATTTTTTTGTCTTTTTGAGAAAGGGTCTCACTGTGCAGTTCAGGCTGGCCTTGAACTCCTTTGTAGCCCAGGGTGGCCTTGAATTTGCCATGATCCTCCTGCCTCAGCCTCTGTTATTTTTTAAATTAACTCTCTTTTGGATTTTTTTTTTTTTTTGGTACTGGGGATCGAACTTGGGACCTTGCACTTGCAAGGCAGGTGGCGGAACCACTGAGCTAAATCCCCGGCCCTAGGATTTCAATATTTGATGAAACCAAATTTATGTCTTTTTTTCCTCTGTCTTTCTAACTGTAGTTTTTGGCTTTTTATGATTTACTTGTTTGTTTTCTGGTACTGGGCATTGAACCTGGGGAGCACTGAGCTACATCCTTACCCCTTTTTATTTTGGGGACAGGGTCTCACTAAGTTGCCTAGACAGGCCTTGAACTTGTGGTCTTCCTGTCTCAGCCTTTGAGTGATATTTCTTGTTCAAGAATATCTTCCTTATCAAAACCTATAAACGGGCTGGGGATTTAGCTCAGTGGTTCTGCTGCCTGCCTCGCAAGCGCAAGGTTCCAAGTTCGATCCCCGGTACCAAAAAACCCCCCAAAAAACTCTATAAACATGTTTATCTGTATTTTCCTGGTTATTTTTGTACATTGTTTTGTTCATTTGTTTCTTGGTGGTTTTTTGTTTTGCTTTTTTGCAGTCCTGGGGATAGAACTCAGGGCCTTCACCTTTGAACTACATTCCCAGCCTAGTTTTTAAGACAGAGTCTTGCTAAATTATCAAGTTGCCCAGGCTGGGATTGGACTTGCGATCTTCCTGCCTCAACCTCCTAGAGTACTGGGATTACAGGTATGCGCCACCACACTTGGATTTTTTTTTTTTTCCTGTGAGATGGGTCTTGCTATGTAGTTCAGCCTGGACTTGAACTCAATATGCAGCCCAGGCTGGCCTCGAACTCATGGCAACCCTCTTACCTCAGAATCCCAAATGCTGGGATTATAAGTGTGTACTATCACACCCGGCTTTTTTCTTTTTTTTTTTGATACCAGGAATCGAACTCGGGACCTTGCACTTGCAAGGCAGGTGCTGGAACCACTGAGCTAAATCCCCAGCCGTCAGGTTTTTTCTTTTTTGGCGGGGAGTACTGGGGACTTTTTTTTTTTCAGTACCAGGGATCAAACTCAGGAACTTGCGCTTGCCAGGCAGGTGTTGCACCACTGAGCTACATCCCGGGCCTGCTTTTTTCTTTTTTAACTGACATAGAATAATTGTACATATTTATGGAGTACAGTGTAATATTATGACATATGTACACAAATGTATCAAATGGGTAATTGACACTTATGTCAACCATGAATTGTTTTTTTTGATGGGGAAAACATTAAAAATCATCTCTTCTAGCAATTTTGACATATTTAATACATTATTGTTATAGACACCCTACCTGATAAATAGGACACTAGAATTTATTCCTATCTAATTTTTTTTTTTTTTGAGACTGTCTCGTATGTAATTCAGGCTGGCCTTAAACTAATAGTGTAGTGGGCTTGCCTCGAACTCACAGAGATCCTCCTGCCTCAGCCTTCTGAGTGCTGGGATTATGAGACAGTCTCACTATGCAGTCCAGGCTGGCCTCAAATTTGCCATCCTTTTGTTTCAGCCTCCCAGAGTACTGAGATTACAGATGTGTACTACCATACCTGGCTTTATCTAATTTTTAATTTTTATTAACTTTTTTCCTTCCCCAGCCACTGATTCTAGTTTTATCTCTAGGAAATTGGCAAGTCTCACTAGTTGATTTGTTCTGCTATACTCTTCAGTCAAGCTTTATGCTCTTTTCCATCTAGATGACACATTTTGTGTTAGGTTTATCCCTGCCTATTTTATGATTGTTTTGTTTGTCTGAATGGGATCTTGTTTTTACAGCTTGCAGTTGTTTATTGCTGATGGGAAGAAATGCCATTGTTCTTGGTGTGGTAAACTGATTAGGCCACCTTGATGGATTTCCAAGTTAGCCTACTCAGAATGTCCCCAGCAG